TAAATAAATTTGTTATTAATAAATATTTAGAGATACATGCATTAATGTATTATAATATAATTATATTCACATTTCTAATACATTTTATAAAGTTTATGCAGTTGTTGGTTTATCTAGCCAGTTATATACATTTCGATCCACTGTGCAACTGCCAAACTTGTTGCTAAAAACGCGCCAAAATAACAGGCACCCACACACACGCACACACACGCACACAAACACACACACACACACACACCCAGAATGACAGTCAAAAGCCAAAAAAAAAAAAAAATAAAGAAGCAACGCGACCAAAATGCGCACCGCAGCAGTCAACACTGCAGTCGTCGCGATGAGTAATTTTCACCACCCAAAACAAGACAAACCATCCCAGTTCCCCCCTTCTTAACAAAGTCCTCCTCACTCTACAGAGCGCGCCTCAGCTGTCAGCAGTGGCAAAACTCACCTGTTAGGCGCAGGATGCCTGGTCACAGTTGCTGCCTTCACTCTGCTGCCCACTAACTCACCACGGCCAACCGATACTGAGGTGAATTCAGCGCAAGCTCCTCGGCTCACTCGCGAGCACTTGACCAAAACAGTTGCGACGCGACTAAGGAACGTGACGGACGTGCGGGCGCTCGACGCTTAAACCGCAAAAGCTCAATACAAAAAAATTTCTGAAATAAAATATACAAAAATATTCCAAATGATTACAAAAAGTTGCAAATTTTCCAAAAAATATAAAATTGAATTTAAAAAACGCGATTTTCCAAGAAAATGCTAAATATTCCATTTAAGAATTTCTATAATTTCATTAATATTCCTAAAAAAATGCGAAACGTGTGTTGAGTTTCCTGATTACAAATTGCTTTGGTCCCAAAAGTTCAGTTAGTCGTTAGCTCTCGCAGACAACGAACGTATCCAAGAACGTGGCTTATACGGGCTGATAAGAGAATGGAATAACGGTAAAGATTTCAAAACGTACAAGGATTAAAGACTAGGTAGTATTTTTTATTTATTTTATTTTGTATTTTTAGAGGCTATCCAATTCTTTTAATTTTCAATTATTTTTTTAGTATTTTATTAGGCTTTTTTAGAAACTATTTCGATTTGAAAGAATTTCATTAGTTTTTTCAAACGTCCGTAAGCTCGTCAGATTTTTATTTCTTCGCCTTACACTCAATCCTAAGCTTAAGACTCAAGGCTCAAGACTTTCGATTGTCCTCTTCACTTTTGCCTGCTGGCAATTCCTGAACCGCATTTAAGCACAGCCACATTTAACACTTGTGCCTCGCTTGATTCTGTTGGCAGTTCAATTACTTTCAAGACTGTCTACACTTCCCTACTTCAGAGTTTAATTACACAAACTTTGAAGTCAGCCACAGAAAAGAAAAGAAGAAAAAATAAAAAAAACCATGAAGAAATGAAACCACATGAAGTGCAAGTTATATTTGAACATTTGCCGCCCACGCACTAATTGCGTTTCTTCTCGCCGACGAATGACACACAAAAAATGGCCCGAAACAAATCCTTCCACCGCGCGTCAGCCATTGTTGTTTCCGTTACGAGCCGTTGTGTTTGATAAGCGCCTTATCAGTTGTTATCTAGACAAAGCGGGCCATTGATAAGGTGTTTTAGTTGCGCACACAGCGATAAAAATGACATAAAATAGAAAAGCGATATACTATAGATAGATAGTTAGCTTTATATTTATATATGTATGTCAGTTCTTTGTCATGTGATGCGAACACAGCTCAACCCAATTACGAAGTTACAATTTTTGTAGCATACACAACGGCGCATTGCATTGTCATTTAATGATTGGAAAATAGATTAGCGTTAAACGTGGTACGAATTGGATTTTCCCGGCATTCGTTTAACGAGTGAAAATAATGTGTGCATTAAATGGATTAAATTATCGACTATTATAAGAGGAAACCAGTTTTGGTGATAATTATTGAAGGTATTGCAAGAAGTCGATGGAAAACATGTGAGCTAATTAGCTAAAATTGTTAGAAGCAATTATCATTAACAGCATTTAAAAAGTATGAATGGGACTCTACTTGTATTTTATAAGGTGCAATATTAAATTGGGTCAAGCTAATATTTGGCCTAGATATATCTATATTATCTACGATATATAATGTAGAAGCTTACGAATTTGAAGCTTCTACTTTACGTCTCTGAACTCAAAACTCATATAAGGTTTCAATAACCGATTGATACGACTACTAGAAAGATATCTATTAGAATAACAAATCGTTGCCTGCGGACTCAGCTGTGACGGAGCTAGTTGTCAATCGACTCGTAACTGCAAAGATACCAATAGCAATGTGCTTTAATACGCAATATCAAGTATACGCAGTGTGCAATCGCACGTCATGCGTCAGCACCTTTTATTACAATTTTTTTGTTTTCTCTTTTTCCTTTCGAAAAGTTCTATGGCTATGCATATAATGCTGATAACATGCATTCATACTCACACACACGCACACACAAAAAACAGTTGCAAATGTGCTGTAAAGAAATTTGCTTTGTTTAGGGCCAACATGCATTAAGCCTGCTGGGCAGCTGTCAACAGTGGGCAACAAGGCACATTAGCAGATATTCACACACACACACACACACACTCGAGCACACATGTGTGGAACCCCTTTTAGTTTTGAATCCTGTAAAGTCTGCACAACAATAACAATGCGCATTACTTTGGCTTCCATTTGCTGCCAACTAAGCAAACATGAAAATACATTTACAGTTGAGCCAGTGGCTTGAGTCCCTTAAGTCCCTGCAATAAGTTCTCTACTTTCTTCGTATTATTCGTAGATATATTTTCAGAGAACAGTTTTTGCTGCTGTTTCACAACTGTTAACTAATAAACCTTCAACTAAATTCTATTTACAGCTGCTGCGTGCGACAATTGTCGAAATCGGAATCGAGGTCGAAATCGAAGTCGAAGTCATGTCCAGGCCAAATCAGCATATAAAACACAATAGACATTCAAATTAAAATTCAATTGTGTTTTTTCCTCGTGTTTATTCCCAAAATACTTTTCGTTTCGTTTTATTGTCTGGGCACATTGAAGAGGAATTATAAATTGAAATCCGCGTTGAGTGCAAAGTGTTTACAATCAGCTTTCGGCTGGGCCACAGCTTTTCGCGGCATTTTCTTTTCTCTTTTCTGCTTTGAAATGCAACATTTATTTCATAACAACAACAACAACAACAACGACGTCGGCAATTTAACAGCTCAAATATTTTCGGACCTCGACACTTGTGTTACGCAAATAGAAAAATAAATTGTGGCTTTAAGTTAAGTTCGAGTTTTCCCACGAATATCATAAAAGTTTAACAAAAAATCAAAATTATAAATAAATAAAATATATTGGTAAAAAAAAATTTTAAATAAATAAAATTGTGCATAATGGCGATGGAATGGATAACAGCTATGGACAAACGGTATGTGGCATAGTTATTTTATTATAATTAACAGAATATTTAAAATATATTTAAGCTTGATTTTATATATAACTAAGTTTGCAGAAATTATTTAGAAAAGATTTAATAAAATTTAAAAAAGATTTTGAGCTAAATTTGAGTTATAATAAATAATAAATATCTGAGATCTTTTTTTATTTTTTATTTTGCATTAAAAAAGTCTTAAGGCCACTCCACGTGAGCAAGAATATGCACTGCTTTAGACGCTTGCATAGATAATATAATAAAATTCACTTTTAATGTTATTCATATGAGAATCACTTAGAAAGGCGCTTTAGAAAAAGTTTGCATTGTAGTTCATTACCATTTCATTTAATTTTTTTAATATTATTTATTTATTTAATTGTTACAAATAATTATTTCTAGATAACAAAATTTGAAGCCATAGCAACAAATGGCTTCAGGCAATATCATTTCATTTATTATTTTTTAGTTCTCTGACAGCCAACAAATTATATGAAATTATATGAACTTAAATTAGCTCTGACAATATCTCAGCTGCTCCTTGTAGCATTAAAAAAAAAGAAGTAAATAAAAACAAAATAGACAAAAAATAAAAAGCACAATATATTTTGTTATCTTTCGCATTTTCTAAAGCACCAAAGTACTTCACAAAGTTACATTAAGACTGTAGCCGAGCGTAAAATGCGACTGTGAAATAAATAATGCGAGATGCACAATCATATTTCAAGCTCGAGTGAAATTAATTGAATTAAAATTTAAAATTCATGCGCTCACGAGGCGAACATTTCCAATTTGTCAGCTGGGAGAACTTTTTGGCTGTTAGCCCTGGCAGGCGACATGCTGCTCCATCATTATTTAAGCAGCAGCAGCAGACGAACAAATGTCGTGTATGTTGGATTTCAAATGTTTATAACATGCTCGACATTCATCTGTCAAATGGCAACAGCTGGCCAACAGCACTCGGGCACATCCACTCAGATCCAAATCCAAATACAAATCCAAATGCTGGACACGGCTGGCTACAAATTATACGCTTTATCAAATTACAATCGCTTTTTAAGCACAATTCTTGTCCAAATGCAATTACAAAGCTGCTGCGACTCCTGCTGCTGCTCACTTGCTGTCCAAAGTGCTCCCCCAACTAAATGCCTGCGGGCCAGGACCAGCCAGCCGGCCCCTTTCCACTTGATTAGCGCACTGGAGTAGCAAAAATTTGTGAGCTGACGAATTGGCGATGGGCGGTGTTTGGCTTTGGCTTTCAAGGGCCGCATTCAAGCGCAAATTGTGCTCATTACAAGACCAAACTAAAGTAGCAAAAAATATACACACACATACACATACATATAAACATCTGTATATATGAGAATCCACTTTTCATGGCACTCTGCAGAATAGAAAGCATCATTAGCCCAAGTGGCAAAACGTTTCGGCTCGATTATTTCGTGCGGCAGCTGCTGCTTGGGTTTCAGCTGCATGTACCGAAAAATTGTTACAATCTAAATGCTATATCAAGGGCGGTTACAGTTACAGGCCAGCCACGCCCACGCACACATACCGGCGCACACAATCAATCAGCACTTGCCCGCTGGCGGCTTAAATGAACAGCATAGCAACTTGCCAGAAATCCAACATAGAACAGGGTCAGCTAGCTGACTGGCTCTATATGTGTGTTAGCTGGCGAAAAAGGTCGAGGGCAAAAAGGGCTTTAAGCCAACACACACACACAGTCACGTACATCAAACTGTTTGCTGTGTGATTTTGCGACGGTTTTTGTGTGTGCTGCAAATATTTGTGTTTCTCGCATTTGTTTAGCTCTTTCTTTGTTGCATTTTTTATTTGCACGCTAACTGAAACAATAAGTACGCTGTGCGTTGGCCAAAAGCCAGCTGCGAGTGGCGGGTCAAAGAGTTAAAGCGCGGCCACTGATCGACTGACGGATGCCCTGCGGGCAGCTGTGAAAAGTTGCGGGTTGAAACTTTAATAATCTAAATTTCTGAGATAGAGAAACTTTTGGCAATTATATTTGTTTTAACAGTTGTTTTTTATTGGGCTAAGAAATGTATATTGAAACGATTGGCAGATACTCTGTAAAGGGCTTTAAGCATTTGTATGCTAAAATATGTGAGTGAGTGAGTGAGGGAAATGTAATCATCCTATGGTAAATCGCGTTATTTTATGTAACTAACTCCAAAAGAGAGAGAGAGAGAGAGAGAGAGAGAGAGAGACTGTGTGTGAGAGAGAGAAAGAGAGGATTACTTTCCACACTCTGCATATTAAAAAGGTAAAGGTTTCTAGCTAAAGGAGCTTGCATAAGGAGCTTTAGATATCAGAGCTCAATGCTCGACTGATAGACACTCTATAATGAGCTTATCATATATGTATGTATATTCCTCTTTGAATTTTTGCATCAAATATGTTACTAAGAAAGTGAAAAGCTTTTGGGTTCAAGATTTATATAAAAAAGTTTTTTGAGCTATTTGTTCCACTGAAAGATACTCTGAACAGGCTTTAGACGTTTAGTGTAAAAAAATGTAAAGCTGCCAGATTCTAGAGTTTGCATCTAATAAATATCTTTAAGTTTCACTCACCTCAACATAAATACCAAAATCTCAAACAGATATGTATATCCGTTACATATCACTTCTACCCCACACTGAAATTCCACTGAGCACAGCAAACCCATCCAAAGCACCTGCCTTAATACAGGGTACAATTAACATGTTTTGCTGCCATTGGCATTACAAGCGAAATGTAATGCATTCTTCTTCCGACAAGTCAGTGAATTTGCATTTTGGCCAAGTAACGATTGGCCATAAACCAATGTCAGAGTGCCGAAAATACGCGCACCGCAATTGCCACAGAATAAATGATTTAATTTGGGGCCAAAATTAATGGCAACAGCTCGAAAGTCACGCAGTCTCAAATCTTTGGCTCGTAATGCGGTAATGCGGCTTATCAGAGGCGATCAGAGCAGTTTAGCCAGCTCGTGTGGCAGGACAGCCAGACAGTCAGCCAGCCAGCCAGCCAAGTTGTCTGGCAATTGATATTGATGATGCTGTTGGCTCTAGCCTCAAGTGCTACGTGGCGTATGCGTGTTGTTGCCACATATTTATCATACGACACGTGTGCGGCTACACAAAGAGCTTCAAGCACATTATATATTTAAATTATTACTTTACGCTGCTTTTCAGCTGTTGCTGTTGCCTGCCGACTTACACAGGACAATTATAAAATAAAAACAGAGGCCGCTTTGCATTCGACAGAAACCACAAAATGCTATTATAATAAACAACAAGCCGGGACGAGCGAGACGCTTCCGGTACCCGAATTCCCTATTAAGCAGGCTGCTCCTATATATATATAAATGTGTGTATATATATACATATATATATGCATGTGGCAGACATGGCACTTAGCCGTGCCGCTGTTTGGTTAACGACAGCAACAACTGGCAACGCCCAGTCGCTGAGGGCCCATACACAACATGGCCTATAAATTATGTATGAGTGCGGCCAAAGACAAACTCCAGCTCCAACAAGGCTACGGCTACGGCTGCGGCAGCAGCAACAGCTCACCTTCAACAGCGGCAAAAGTTGCTCAGCGCCAGCGTCAAAAAGTATACACTACAATATTAAAGTAGCATCAAGCCACACACACACACCTACACACGCACAGCAGGGGCACACTAACTAACAGCCAGCAGCTTTGTTGATTTTGATTTAGAGCGAAAATTTGCTTTCGGTTCTTGCATCTGCCTATTTGATGGCATTTTTAATTAACCAAAAAACACAACGAATTCAAGTTAGACTGTCTATGCCGCACAGCCGTGTTTGCTCATTTGCCAGCTTCACAGGCACACATGCATACACACACATACACACGCACTTATTTGCCATTTTCAGCTGCACTGCAGCTGAGCTTTATAAAGCAAACAGGCACAAGCAAAAGAATGAGCTTGAATAACATTAGCCAGAAGCAGCACTTCAATTTTAAATTAAATTTCATGCCGACAGCGAGCGGGCAACAGGAAACTTTATTTAGTCAGAGAAGCTGAAGTATTCGGTGGCGAGGCGAGCTTTAAATTTTATGAGAGAGTTTAGTGCACTATTAAAGCTTTTGGCGTGTTCTTAATATTTTAATATATTTTAAAAGACATTAAACTTGGCCAATCAAAATGGGATTTTGTTTTTGTTACCATATGACATATTGTCTTGAAAATAATACAAAAAAAAAAAAAAAGATAAAAACTGTAGTATTAAAATAAAAAATTTGTGAAATTATATTCTTATGTTAACAAATGACATCTCGAATAGTAAAAGAGTTGAGCTTTTATTAAAAAAAGTAAATAAATAAAATAAAAATTCATTCTCAAAGAGCAGAACTTTTAAGTTAGTCTGATGCTTAAAATGACCTAAAAAATTTCTTGATCAACTGTCATCTAGGGCTTTTTAAAAGCGAGTCCTACACAGTTATATGAAAAAAGCTTTTCAATGCCAAACAGTGCTTTTACATATGCCAATCTAACGCTTTAATGAGCTTTAAAATTCAATCTCCAATAAGTTGCAAAAAGAGACTTTCAAAGTCGTCCAAAGCTTTAAAGTAAAGCAAAAGGTTTAAAATGTCTTAAAAGCCCTCTGAACTGGTCATAAATAATACAAAAAACAATAAATTCCCAAAATAGATCGGCTACAAAATTATTAGCCTTATTTGCAGCTACAATTTAAGAAGCTCTTACGTGCTACTTGAGGTCAGTGTCGAGCAGGCTCACAGCTGCCAGCTCTCAGTGGACCAAGTGTCCAGTCTGAAGTTTTTATAGATGAATCCATGCAGCAGCCGACACGAGCTAAGGCCACTTCTTAAGAGGCCGACCGAAGAGAAACTTATCTAAAGTTGAACGCTGGGCAATTAGTTGTTGACTTTCACTTCTTCTTCTTCTCTGGCTGCTTATCTCAGCCAGAACATCCGTTTCCGGTTAGCTGGCCGCTCGGCAGCCCCTTCCTTAAGTGTTTACTTATGCATTTTCATTTCGATATACAAATAAGAATATTACCAAAAAACAAACCGAATTGCGAATGTTTTATTTGCATATTTAATTCGGGCTCCAGCCATGTCCAAGGAGCATTCAAATTTTTAGACTCATTCACGAAAGTGAAATGAGTATATTGGTTTTGTGCAATGTCCGTCTTGCTGTCCGTCCGTCTGTCCGTCTGTCCGTCTGTCCGTCTGTCCGTATGAACGCAATCTATTTCGGCGCTATTGAAGCTAGAGACTTGAAATTTGGAACACATACTCGTGTATATCTCCGATTTATAAAGTGTTAAAATTTTCCCGATCCGCCCACTAGGGGCGTGGCAAATCGGAAAATGCATTTTCCGATATACCAGAAATCATGTTTGTTGAAGAGCTAGAAAGCTGAAATTTGGTATGTAGGTCCGCGCC